GAGGCGCGCGGGGGGGCGCGGCGGGCGCCGCCGCCGCTGCCGCCGCCTCGCGCCTTAAAGGGCCAGCGCGCCCTCCCCTCCCCCCACGGCGCTCCCCACACATACACACACACACACACACAGAGCGCCGGGGGGAGCCGCGCGCACCGAGTGTGTCCCCCGTCCCCCCCTCTCCCCGCCGCCCCCTCCCCGCCGCCCCGGAGGAAGCGGCGCGGCCCGGGGAGCAGCCGCCGCCGCCGCCACCCCCCGCGCTCCCCCCCGCCGCTCTCCTCCTCCCCCTTTATTACCCTTTGTGTGCGCGTCGCCGCCCGCGCCGCTCCGGGCGCCGCCGAGGTGAGTGAGTGAGTGCGCGCGGGGCCGCCGCTTGTTTACCTCGGGGAGCGGCGGCCGCCTGTCAGCGCGCGGCGGGGCGGGGGGGGCACGTCCTGCCCGAGCTTTGTTGCCCGGCCCGGGGTGGCGGTTGGCGGGGAGGGGGGGGTTGGTTGGTTGGGGGGGGGACGCGGCCGTTGGCGACGCGGCCGTTGGCGCCGCCGGAAAGTTGGCGGCGCGGGCGGGAGCGGCGGTTGGCGCCGGTGTTGACGTTGGTGGCGGGGCCCGCAGGGTCTCGGCGAGGCCGCCGCGGAGGCCGCGCTCAACTTGTGCCCGCGCGTTAATCCCCCCGCCGCGGCGGCGCCCGGCGCGGCCTCCTCCGCGCGCCGCCGCGGCCTGCCCGTCCCCGGGGGAGAAACACGGGCGAAAACGGCGGGGACCCCCCCATCCAGCGGGCGGCGGCGGCCGCCGGGGCAGGGCCCCCCGCCGGAGCGGGGTGTCGGGGCCCGGGGCGCCGCCGCCCGCCCGCTTGGCCCCGTTTCTCGCGGCTCTCGCCGAGTAGGCCCCGCGCGTGGGGCTCGCGGGTGGAGAGCGGCCCGTGGGGCTCGGGCGCCGGCGCCGCGGGGCCCTCGGGAGACACCGGGGTCCCTCCCGCTCGCGGCTCACCCCCAAAGCACCCCGTCTGAGGCGGCGGTCCTGCAGGGGCTTGGGGGGCTGCCTGGGCGGCAGGAGCGCGTTTAGGCTCCTGGCCGAATGCTGTGAGGAGAGTTGAGGCTAATGGCCAGAAGTGCCGTTTTTTCTAATAGTTTTGCCCCTAGTTTTCTACCCGCCTGTGAAAACAAGATGACTGAGTTTTAATTGCGTGAAAATCCTCGGTGAAGTGATGTTGCTCTGCAAAATTGGCAGGTAGACCTACGAAAGTGCGTTCTTCACATGCAAGTTCCCCTTTAGCTAGTTTACTATAGGCAAGAAGTGGACAGCAGTGGTAAATACAGAAATAAGTGACGCTTTCCCCCACCTCAGCCCCTCCATAACAATAATTTTTATCCCAAGGTGAGATATCTGTGCGTGGGAACCCGCAGCACCTTCAGGATTATGCTCCCAACATACGTGTAGTTCAGATCTGCCGGCAACTTTCATGGACTACAGCTGATGAGATGGATTATTTATTACGGAGATTAACACTTTAATTTCCTAGTGCGGCGATGTTAAAAATAGACAAGGTTTG